CCAAAATAATACACAGAAAAGCGACCAAAGTTGGTCTCTATTTGGTCGCTTTTCATGTTAAAAAAAATAATTTTCTGGAGAATAGCGACCAACGTTGGTCGCTATATACCCAGATTTCGACAAAAAGCGACCAAACTTGGTCGCTATTTCATTAAAAAAAATTNTACGTAATTGCTTAATTTATTTTAATTTTCAAAGTATATCTATTATATTTATTAATTAAAATTTACGAGTTTTCAGGAAAAGAAGTTGGGTCGTCCGATGAACCAAGATGAGCTATTCAAGGAGACTCATATTGTGAAGAAGAAGAAAGAAACGGATCAAGAAAGGTGGGTCGAGGGACGTGCCTCGATTGTACATGTAAGTTTTCACTTTTCATTAAGTATTTTCATTTACTTTTATGTAAATTTTGAAATACTAATTCAATTTACTTTTTCTTATATGATCGCTTCAGAGTTGAAGCTGAGGAATTCATACGCAGCCAGCCACCTAATGAGTCGGGCACGCCATTCCAACTTTCGGCCGAGGATGTTGAAAGACTATGGACGCGGGTTGCAGGCGGTCCAAAATGGGGGAAGGTATACGACCTTCCTACTAAGACATTCCATCANAAGTTGGTCTCTATAGTCAATATCCGGAAAAATTGGTCCATTTAGTTTAGAGACCAAAGTTGGTAGCTAATTAACGGCCAACTTTGGTCCCTAAATAAAAGGGACCATCAATATAGCTACCAGGCCCCTGTGGTCGCTTTTTGGTCGCTTTTTAGCCCAGTAGCGACNCGCTATGCGGGAGACTGTGACAAAGCTCACATCCGAGCTAGAAGCGTCCAAGGAAATAGAAAAGCTTAGAGATGCTCAGTATATTGGTGTGGTCGCTCAGTGCCAGAGCATGCAAGAGTAGATCAAAAATCTCCTAGCTGGATCTTTTTCGNCTGTGGTCGCTTTTTGGTCGCTTTTTAGCCCAGTAGCGACCAACTCTGGTCGCTTTTTGCGGTCGTTTTCCCCCGGATTTCTAGTAGTGAAAGCAGGACGAATTAATTATTGATCCAGCGGTCCAACTCTAGTTTTGAAAAGGATAAGTGATCGCTGCAAATATAATTCAGTCTAAGTGTCCGGAGTCAAATCCTACAATAAATTAAGGCTTAGCTACAATTGTTCAATATTGCTAAGAAACACAAGTTCAAATAATTTTCTAGTTATAAAGATTGTAATTTATATTTCTAACTAATCAACTAACAAATACTAAAAAGCAGTAAATTATCAACTAACGAGGATAAAGTTGGAGAGAAGATTAAGGAGGCATAGAGGGATGGAATCCTTCCCGCTACGTCTCCTATAATTTTGCCTAAGTATTCTCTATTGATCGTGAGTACTTCAAGTATCATAATTCCCTCCCGAGTAATTACAACAATTTACTAGATATATTCTCCCAAACTACGCTAGCTGACACTATCTTACTGCTCACTATGACCACATCAAGGCTTTGTTATTCCTAAACACATCTTTAAATCCGCCGTATTGATTCATCGCATATGTTAGGAGTGAAGTTGTTCAACGACCACCTAAATATATAATCTTTCCCAAGCAATACATAATAAATAGGCACAGTCAATTGATGACCATTCAATCAACTGAAATACGCATGTAGTTGACAAGTAAAGAAATTTAAAGGCTAAATTATATTAAAACTTAACAAAAATTCATCTCCTAAAGGTTCCATCAAAACTCTAGATAATAAATTAACTACTCATAATAGTATGTAGAAATATAATACTAAAATTCATAACTAACAATAGAAAATAGGAAGAATAAAGAAAAAACTCGTGGTTGAATCTTCCTCCTTGCTCCTAACGCATTCTTGCCTCCGAAGGTGTTGTCTAACCCTAAAGTAGTGCATGCCTTCTTCAACAGGGCATTTTAGGATGTATTTATATCAATTAGGGTTTGTATGAGGCGGACAAACCAATCCAATCTCGGATAGGAAAGCTGGAATCCGCATCGCGCGACCAAAGACGCGGGCTCAGTTTTTGAAATTTTTTCATTTCATGAAGCGATCCATGCCTTCGCTTCACTTTATTATTTTGTGCATTCAATTGTCTCCTTTTTCGAGTCCGTTTTTGTGTCATGTGCGAGAATGGACGAGCTCCCAGTTCTTCCATCTTTTTTCTTTTTTTGTAACAAATTGACATATTATGACCACTCATCATCCAAACTTACTCCTACACACAAGAAATATGTAATAAGCAAAGTTTACTTCTAAAACCATGTAATCTCCCGCAACCCACATATGAAATAATATGCAAACATACTCAAAAATATGTACTTTTCATCATTTATCAATTACTATTAAGGTTTCTCATTTGAAAAATTGTTGAGCAAGCTTTTCATCAGAGAAAAATGGAGTCTGATGAGAGAATTGGAGGCTTCTCACCAGAGAGAAATGAAGTGGTGGAGTCATCTATGAAAAGTTAAAGAAGAAGAAGAAATAAGGTCTTCAGAAAAGAGACCTAGGTTTGTTTGGAATTAAACTAGGTTGTCTCTATTGACTATTGGACTTGACACGTGGAGCAATCTCAGCATTTAAGAACTTACAATCTGAGCCCTTGGATCCTACACGAGTAAAGCACATGCACACTCATAGTAAAAAATATTTTGGTTACACAGTTGTATTTACAATCAATAAAGTTTAGACAAGTGTACAAAATAATTTTGTTACACAGTTAAAGGCATAGACAATAGAAATTAGACAAGTGTATAGAGTAGTTTTAATTTATAATTTTCTTTTGTAGCAAATACATGTATAAATATTTGTACAGTGAATGAAACAATAGACATAAAATTCTGCAATTCCCTTCTTTAATCTTTCATGGTATTAGAGTAGTAGCTCGATTCCAAGGGAATTCATTTTTCAATTTTTACTTCTTCTTCATTTTCTGTGTTCTTCATCCTATTCGATCATGGCACCCGAAATACTCCTCATTCCTGCACCTCAAACTTCAACTGGAAATGGAGTGACTCTTGATGTTAATCACCCCTACTTCCTTTATTCATGAGATGCTCATGGAATGGGCTTAGTCAATGCAGTCTTTCATGGCATATGGTACCATGGATGGAAGAATCTGTGTTGATAGCCCTTTCAGCAAAAAGCAAGATGGGCTTCATCGATGGTACATGTCCAGCTCTTGCCATTGCTTCCAAAGATTATCAATCATGGAGCAGATGCAACGATATGGTAACATCATGGTTGTTGAACTCACTGTCTAAGGACATTGGAGACAGTGTTATATATTCCAAAACTGCAAGAGAGCTCTGGACTGGACTGGAGTACATGTTTGGGCAGTCTAATAGAGCAAAATTGTATCACCTGCAGAAAGAGTTAGCTGGTTTAGTTCAAGTTACAAGTGACATAGCAACCTATTTCATAAAGCTTAAATGTCTATGGGATGAGTTGGATTCTCTCAACTCCAATATCAAGTACACCTGCACTTTTATCTGTGAGGGTAAGAAAGTGGTGGAAAAATCACAAGAGGATCAGAGACTAATTCAATTTCTAATGGGGTTGAATGAGGCATATGATCCAACTAGGGGAACCATACTCATGATGAACACATTACCCAATATCAACCATGCATACTCCTTGATTCTACAGGATGAGAATCAGAAAGAGGTATATGCTAACCCTCTCATTTCAACTCATGCTTCATCCTTCATGGTAGGAAATCAGAACAATTTCCAAAATCAAGGAAACTTTTCATAAAGAAATGGGAAGCAAAGACTTCCTCGGCAGTTTCAGAAGTCTGCTAATGATTTTCAAAAATCTGGAAATCCACCACAAAGGACATCAACTCCTAAGGCAAGGAAAGGAAAATTCAACCCTTATGTTTCTTGTACCTACTGCAAGAAAATAGGTCACTCAGTAGCAGATTGCTATAGAGTCATAGGGTTTCCAGATGGTTTTGAATTCACAAATGGAAAATAGGGTCAAGCACCCATCAGAGGTAATGGAGCTTTCTCAGGAGACCAAGGAGATGATCCGAACATCAATTTTAATGAAGTTATGAATCAACACCTTTCAAAGGAACAATTCTCACAGTTGATGCAACTCATTAAGCAAGTTAAGGTGACAGATGCAGGAACCTCAAACTCAAAAATCAATGCAAATGTTGTGGCTGGTACAATTATCAAATATTCTGGTTCTTGTTTTTCAGTTTACAATTCAAGCACCTGGATCATAGATTCAGGAGCTTCAGAACATATGTATTTTGACTCAAATGCTTTTATATCTTTATTACCTCTTCTTGTTCCTCTATACATCAACCTACCTAATTCTTTCAAAATAACAATCACTCATATAGGAAGAGTTTCCATTCATTCTGATTATATCTTTAAAAAAATGTATTGCATGTTCCTACTTTCAGATATA